GCTTTTCAGACCGATGAGCTTTGTAAAAATTGACACGTTTCAGAAAGGCGGGGCATAGAGGAGAAACAATAATGTACAGTTTGTGGAAAATAATGTGGTTTTTGAACCTTAAACCGCATAAACACATTTCATTACACCAAATACACAAAATAATGTTCTTTTTTAGCAACATCATATGACCTCTTTAAACAAGGATTAGATTGTGCAGTAAAGTGTAAAAACAATCGTCAGGCTGCCCTCTGCAGGCATTTGTTATAATGCGTAATGTACATTATACTCATTTATGCATTTATACTGAATATAAATTCTGTTGTAAAGAAATGGCCAAATATTAAAGATTAAAGTGGACATTTGAGTTAAATGTTGTTTAGTCTATATTAAAGGGGTCATATGATGCGATTTCAATTTTTCCTTTCTCTTTGGAGGGTTACAAGCTCTTGGTGCATAAAGAAGATCTGTAAAGTTGCAAAGACTAAAGTCTCAAATCCACAGACCGATGAGCTTTGTAAAAATCGACGCATTTCAGAAAGGCAGGGCATAGAGGAGAAACAATAATGTACAGTATGTGGAAAATAATGTGGTTTTTTTTACCTTAAACCGCATAAACACATTTCATTACACCAAATACACAAAATAATGTTCTTTTTTAGCAACATCATATGACCTCTTTAAACAAGGATTAGATTGTGCAGTAAAGTGTAAAAACAATCGTCAGGCTGCCCTCTGCAGGCATTTGTTATAATGCGTAATGTACATTAGCTCTATTGTTTATAATACATTATGTATTTTACCAGTTTTGTTCAATAAAACCATATGATTACTAGCTTTTGATTCCTTGCTTTATTTGAACTCATTATTATTGCCTCATTGCTATTATATAGGTATTTTAAGTCATTTTAAAGCCTATTATTCGCTTAGGTCTATTTTTATTGCCACAGAAAAATAATTATATTTATCCGATTACGCGATTAATCGTCAGAATAATCGACCGATTACTCGATTACCAAAATAATAAGTGTGACGTAGTCCATTGTGTCTATTTTTTACGACACCACACATTTCTACAAAACTTTTAACTCTGTACATTACATGGGAAATTACAGCTCACCTTCTTCTTTTCTTTGACATCATATAAGGCCAAACTTGCAAATATTGGCTCAATTTCAATCTCAAACCTTAAAAGGGACAAGAGATGCTTATCAGAAACATTGTAGCCATAGATGTTACATTTCAGTCCACAAAAGCTGTTCTCCACTTACTTCAAGGACAAGCACTTGACAAGAAGCCTTTGACCAAAATGTTCTTTTGGAACATCAGGCACACAGTGGCGCTCAATGGGTTCTTCCTACATGAAAAAAAAAAAATAGATTAATGCAAGAAGTGTTTTGGTAATCCGTATATTTAAACACAATATTGGAAATATTGAAACAAAATGTCACACTCTACCTCATCCAAAGCAGGATGCAGTGCGAAGAGCTCTCGATGACGGTTTGACTTGCGCTGGTCCTCATTGTGGTGGTCGATTTCCTCGTTGGGTACTCGATCCAGAAGATGAGGCAGCAGAGCATCAGGCTGAGAGTTCTTCAGGTCAAATATACTGCAAGCCCAGCTGCCACGTGGAGTGTCATCAATTGACATGGACCTTCGCTTCAGATCATCCTGTGACATGCAAAAGTCAGTGTTTATATTCAGTGAATTCAAAAAGAAACTCACAGGGATATTGTGCAATTATTCTATTGGGTAAAGTCTTCACATCACACGCAACTGTAGCAAAGACAGGTTTACCTGATCATCCTGATAGCTGCTGTGATCTGGCAACTCATCAGACTCAAAAACCTGCTTGGGTAAACCTCTCTGCCTCTCCTTCTGCTTATCCAAAGTGTTGGGATTGAATGCGGTGCCCAACTTGTGGTACCTGTGCATCCAAAATACTTTTTAAGCCTTTTTAAAATAAATAAGTAAACACATACATAAATAAATAAAAATGTACATGGAAAGCTTTTTTATGGTATAATTAGGAATTAAAAAAATAAAAATGTATGCCTAAATTAATTTTCTAATAATCATTTTGTTATATCATTTTTTTTTTATTAAGAGACTTGTTTAATCATAGTAAAAAAAAATGTGATTACGTGTTAAATAACTAATAGCTAATTAAAATGAATCACTACTCAATTTTATATAAACAAGAAAACAAGATTAGATGAAACTATCACATTTTTTATCATTTATCGGTAAAGCATTAAGCATTATTTTATGTAATGAGTATTTTACATACTAATGTTAAAATTCAGTTCAGCGGAGCTTTGTCAATGATGGATAAAATTACAGAAAATCAGTTTACATAATTATATAAAAGTTTGTAGGCTTAAACTAAACTTTCAACCTTAATGACCGTAATTACTTCACTTCCATTTACTTTTCTCACAATGACTGGGTAATAATCAGTATACTGTATGTTTGGATTACTATCCATGGTTACAATGACAACCATTATATGAAGAGTTTGGGCTTATCAATTAAGAATCACCAAGGAAACTGATTCACAGTAACTTATGAGGGCCCTATACATATCTTGGAAGCTGCTTGAGTTTGTCTCTTGAGCAGAGTTAAAGACCCCATGAAATCAAATTTAAAGTTTTTTGGGTGTTAGTATCAATATGTTAGTCTTAAGGTTATCTATAAGGCAGTGTGCTCCAAAACAGTGACAAAATTCGCATTTAGAAGATATAAGCATTCAAAGCTTGAAGTTCGTCACTTCCGCCAAAACAGCTCAACGATTTTTTTGACGTCACATCATACTTCAGCTTCTCATCAAACATTCTGTCCAATCATAAAATGACGTCAACACGTAGAGTAACGCTGCGTGTTTCTAAGCATTTCAGGGGACCTTTAAAAGCCCCAGTGAAAAGCACCATAAAAGCAGCATGTTGGGAGAAAGACTGTAGGCAATATTCACTTGAATTCCTCTTTGTCATTTATGAACAGGCCCACACTAAATTTGTGCCTGCAGAAATCTACAGATAGTGTTGCAGATACTATCCTACAATCCTCAGGATTGAAACATCCGTTATCACAAAGAGGCACCAAGAACGTAACACTTTCAGCTCCACTTAACACATCTTCCATATTTAAAATCATGTATCAGAATCCCATGTATCAGGAAAAAAAGGCTGCATTAATTCTAAAGAGAGAACAGATGTAAGATGGAAATCTAGTGAAGCGTCATACTTGCGGTTAACAACGGCCCAGTCCTCAGTGTAAGACCGGACGCAGTCTCTGACATGTGGATCATTCTCACTGGAAAAAGTATTTAAGAGGAAGAACAAGTAAAATATGTTGAAGCAGTATGCCTGTGTAACAAAAGAATAAGTGAATGACAACTGTTTATGTTCAAACACTATGTACAAATTCATTTATAAGCAAAAAAACCATTTTAGGCTTAAATGACTATTGAGATCATCACGGAATACATTTTAAAACTGTTCACACTGACAATCTGATTCATTTTGTTCAATTACACCTCTGGTTTGCAGAGACATACTAATGTATGCCTCAATTCTTCGAAACAATCCACCCTGAACACGCTCACCCCTCCTCAGGCACAGCCTGGCCAAGAGTCCGGCACTCTCTTGGCGTGTAAAGCACTTCAATGTCATCTGGAGGAAACTCAATCAGATCTCTCAGAGGTCCTGACTCTATAAGGGGAGGGTGTGTGATCAAATACTCTTCAAAATCCACTGGCTCTACAGCCTCTGTCAGAGGAATCTATAGGGAGAAATCCAAAGAGGAACAGAAAGAGAATGTGAGAACTGTTGCCGCTATCTCCCAAGAAAGACTGTATCACACTGAAGGGATAGTGGTAAATACCCTTTGAAATGTCAATCACCCAGATTTTACACAGAAAAGTATATTCTCTTTCAAATGTAGTACTTACAGCATTGCTAGCTGCATTCCCACCCACACTGAGGTTTTTGAGAAGCTGAGGTGAGCCTCCGTACTGACCAGCAATCTGCTTCCTGACCTCAGCCGCTACAGTCCTGGAGAACAACAAGACAGCGCAGATGGCATTAGAATACAAAACAGATAAGTATCCCATGACTTGACTGTCATCTCTCTCTAAACAAGTCAGAGAACGAATGAAATACTCATTTACTATAAACACTACTGTTCAAACGTACTTTTACTCAACAAGGATGCATTAAATTAGTCTAGTGACAGTAAAGACATTATATCACATTACAAAAGACTTTTGTTTTAAATAAATGTTGTTCTTTTAAACTTTAGTCATCAAAGAATCCTGGGGGAAAAAATGCATCACAGTTTTCACAAAAAAATAATAATAATAAGCAGTACAAGTGTTTTCAACATTGATAATAAGAAAGAAATGTTTCTTGAGCACCATATCAGCATATTAGAATTAAGGATCATGCGACACTGAAGACTGAGTAATAACTGCTGCAAATTCAGCAAAATTACATTTAAAAATATATTAAAATAGAAAAACTGTAGCAATATTTTACTTTTTTGGTGTTTTTACTGTATTTTTGATCAAATATATGCAGCCTTTCAAAAACATTAAAAACAAAATCACACCATCCCCAAACTTTTGAATGGTATACAGAATGTTGTATGCAATGATAAAATTGATGTATACAACACTGTTGTATACATGACCTCACTATATTGCATCATGTTTAATTCTTAATTCAGTGCCACTGAATCATGTAGAAAAAAAATGGTTATTTTGCATTTTTTTGTATGTAAAAATATTTATTAACATGAGCCAACAAGCCAACAAAGTCAAGAAAAAACTTGATTGTTGATATTTTTTCCACATTATTTGTCCCACTGAAAATAGCCTGATAGAACTGTACAGTACAGAAGTCCGCCATCCAGGTGTTCCAAGCATAATGTGTACAGTACAAACCGCTTACTGCTAAAATGGTACAAGTAGTATTCTATTCCAAATATAGACAAAGTCTTATGACCTTTTTCTTGGCCCAAGCTTTTGTAAATAACAACAATCTATGACACATCAAACTAATAACTGGCAGCATACTACTGGGCTCACAAAAATAAAACACAAAAACATACTAGCAAATCTTGTAATGAGACAAGCTCTGCAAGTTCACATCAAAATACACCTAAGCCCCTCCAATAGGTTAGGTTAAAAAAGTTCATTACTATAGAGTAATAACATAAGATTGTAACTTATTATTATTCAGTTTTCACAGGCTGAATTACAGTCCTGTAAAGTACAAGCAGAATAAAATACCATCAAGGTTTGAATGAAAGCAATGTGTCAGTAAGAAGAACCAAATTTACAATATTATCAGACTGCCTTTGTTGTAGCATAGTGTACAAGTCAATATCGCTAATCAGAATCCTCTTCCAATACATGTAGAATGACGTACACTGAAACAAAACCCCGCCCCCAGTGCCCTTGTTGGTTCTGGAGGGACCTTTATTTAGGCTGGACATTCCTGAAGGGGGAACAGATGATTAGCCCACGCGGATGTGTTGTTTACCAAGGCATGACTTTCAGTGCATATTTCACACATCTCTGAAAACGTCTTGCACTTTAAGTAAACAGAGCCATGAGAAACAGCTTCTGTGACTTCCGAGAAAAGCTTTCAGATTTCATTTGAATATCTAATTAGCAAGTCATTCAGTAAAAAGGGGTGAACTTCAAGATTTTTAGTGCTTTCAGTTTTGCTTTGTGTAAAATAAAATTAGATAGACATTGACTTTTTGGGGGCTTTTTGCATTCTATATTATGGGTAATACCTATACTGTCTTATGTATAAATCAAAACGCATAGCTATTTCCTTGATCATATCAATAAAGGCATTTTTCTATTTGGTTAAATAACAAGTAACGATTGGAATCAAGGGTGCAGGTGCCACTAAGTCTATCCTGAACTGATCTAATCATCCCATTACACGGCACTGAAAAGACAACAGCATTTTCAAGCATCTGGGAAACGCCAAGACTATGGAAACCACCAGGGAGCCTAAAAGGTCACTTCCTTTTTTAAATCCATATGAGGTCTAATCTCTGACTTAACATCACAAAGGAAATCTAGACTGAAAAAAAAGAGATGTTTTTAAGCCAATGATGAGACTTAATTGTAGTCTATTATGATAACCCAGGGTCCCTGCTCCACAAATTGTGGGCCACTAGCCAAAATCTGAACAGATCTAAACATTAAGCGCACAGTGTCATTACAAGGAAAAGTATCTGCTTGAAATTTAATCATGCATCGTATTTCAGGTCATTCTGGATCTCAGTCTGAAATGGTCTTAAAGGCTTTATAATAGCTGCATGACTACAACAGCAATGCAAACCATCAATATCATGCAAGAACATCTGAACACTTGTCAGTTGATGGTGTTCTAGTAATACACCAGAAATTATTATGCATTACTATTATTCATGATCTCCGGCTTAAAGTCATTGTTTACATTATTTTTAAGTCTCGTTATTTAATTAAGAGTTTAAAAATCATCGTCTTGCAATCAAAGCTGTGGTGCACTATGCATATACTATATGACTGCATATTGACTATTATACTAGTGTAAGTTACCATATGATTGCATACTGACAGCAAAACATCTCATGATCCCGATGTGTCAGTATGTCAAGCCATCGTCTCACAAACACTAAACACTGCATTTCATTGAATCAGCCTAGTCTGCATCGTTAAATCCTTAAATGGATTTAACAAAATACGCATTTATGGATTATAAACCCAGGGATAAAGACTGCTTTTAATGCACAGAAGCACAAAGGCATCATACTGCTGTCTTGCAGCTTAGGGTGGGTCACTCGGGCATCTCTATGGATGCATCTCAAAACCTAGTAAGTTGCCTACCTAGACGGCACTCCAAACGCGCCTATTAGACCCAACCGTGCAGTCTGGGTAGGCAGCTCCCCAAGGTTTTGAGACACCGCCTCTAAACTCAGCGTCTGCTCTAGCTAACTCAACGCCTAGGCCTTATTTGGGAAAGACTGGCACGCTCGCCAATTGGATCAGGCAGCAGACAAAGAATGGTCGCACGGCGCTGGGAGAATACATTTAAATGCAATAGCTTGGAAGTGCGTTAGATATCCTTACCTGCTGATTTTCTGGGCAAAGGCGCGGCGCTCAGCCATGACTGTAGCCGCTGAGTGCTCGAGCAACTCCAGCGCTCCAGCCGCGATATTCCTTCCCCACCCGTACCCGTATTTCGACAAGCCCCACCTCCTGACGCCTAAAATAAGTCTGTGATTGGACAGTTGAGAAGTCACTCATAAAGCCGTAGTAACCATAATAAACAGAGAGCTGGTCAGGGGCGGGACTTGTCGGAATACGGCTGGGAAAAAACGCGCTCCAGACGAACAAGAGAAGACAATGTACCGTAAAGCTGAAAAAATAAACGCATACCATCTTTCAGTCTTTCGGGATCGTGGGTTGGAGTCTTCCCGGTGATTCATATCCTGTGCGTACAATAGAGGGCTCTTTTACAGGAAACTGTCTGTGTAGCGAAAAGTGTGAAATGCATCCGTTACCTCTTCCACTAATCGTGTAATCTGTAGACAATGACAGCTTTATTGGTGTATAAACATATCGTGGGTTGTAGTAGTGGGTGTTTAATTTCGACACTTCTAATTATGAATAATATAATGATGCTCCGTAAAAAGCTAAATGAAGTACAGAAAAGCTTAAATAATAGACAAATGTCCTTGCTTATTTCATTTGATAATTAAATTAGATTGTAATTAAGTCTAGTACTTATAAAGATATTTAAAAAGCATCAATCTTTCGAGATCTATTTTTATGAACCGTTTCACAAAACCCTGAACGATGTCAAACTCATAAAAGACAAATAACAAACGTCTTACAAATAAAACACACTAAAAATGTTCTTTCTTGCGACTTGAATTTATGACAGTTTTATTCTATACACATAGTTGCTCTTGATAAATGTTTTATTATAACATAACAAAAACTTTCCAGTCGAGAGATAATTGATTTTAAAAGGAACCAGACAAATCACAACCATCCTTTATTATTATTATTATTTTTTTTTTTTTACCAGTTCCTTGGAACGAATAGTTCTAAAGAACCAGACATCCTATCACTAGAATGCGCCAGACGGGAGAATATCTGAAATACCGCGAGACCGAACGAGAGGCCGCTTCCTCAAAATGTAAACAGAAGTGAGTAAATGCACAGTGAGTTCTTAAGTATAACAAGACGTGTGAGCACGAATGTTTTAAATTATATATTTATATAT